CCACTCTTACCCTGGTAGTCCTCTAACTCTTCATTTTTTTATTCATTAATGGGATGAGGGTGTCACTGCTATGTAGCATTTATTGCCCATCCTTATTTGCCCAGAGGGCAGTTCAAAGTCAACCACATTGCTGTGGATCTGGAGTCACATGTAGGCCAGGCAGGTAAGGATGGCAGTTTCCTTCCCTAAAGGACATTAGTGAACCAGATGGGCTTTTCCAACAATTGACAATGGATTCATGGTCATCATTAGATTCTAAATTCCATATATTTTATTGAATTCAAATCCATCATCTGCCATGGCAGGATTTGAACCCAGGTCCCCAGTTCGTTATCTGGATCTCTGGATTAACAGTCCAGCAATAATATGACTAGGTTTTTGTTGATCACATCCTACAAAGATAATTCATTGCCTCTCTTGATTTCCTTTTTAAACAACCCCCTACACTCTCTAAACTTTTGAACGTCCTTTCCTTTTTTTAAAATGTTGCACCTGACGTATGTTTCTTTCTGTTTCTTTATTAAACTTACGATATCCCTTGACATCCAGGGTACCCTATTCTTCTTGCCCTTGCCTTTCACTCTAAGTGGACCATGCTGTCTCTGAACACTCACTGTACTACTTTTGAAAGATTTCCACTTTCCCACTTTCCAAATGTAGACTTATTTGCAAGTGGCTTCTCCCAGTCTATGTATTCCTGATCCTGATGCGTTGCATCCTAGGATGCTAAAAGAAGTAGCTAGAGAGATATTGGATGCATTGGTTGTAATTTTACTACACTCCTTGTGTTCCAGAGAAGTACTGGAGGGTTGTGACACCTTTAATCAAAAAGGGAGGGAGGCAAGATGCAGGTAAGTATAGGCTATTAGCCCATCTATGTTGGAAAAATGTTGGAATCACTTATTACGGAAGTAATTGGCAAATCATCATCTAACCAAGCAGAGTCAGCATGGCTTCTTGAAATGGAAATCATGCCTGACTGATTTACTACAGTTTTTCAAGGATATCTGAAACAGCATAGTTAGAGGAGAACCAGTAGATGTGTTATATTGATGAAGGCATTCGACAAAGTACCTCACAAAAGGCTACTCATAAGAGCCCATGGTGTCAGAGGTAGTGTATTGGCATGGATAGTGAATTGGCTAATGGGCATGAAATGGTGAGTTGGGATAAGGAGTCTTTCAAGTTAGCAATCTGTAATCAATTGGGTTCCACTGGGATTAATGTTGGGACAGCAACTGTTTATAAATGCCTTGGAGGAAGGAAGCAAATGTACTGTAGCTAAATTTTCAGATGACACAAAAATAGGTGGAAAGGCAAGTTACAACAGGGTTACAAATGGTTTACAGAGAGATATCAATAGTTTAGATAATTGAGCAAAAAGTTGGCAAATGGAGTATAATGTGGGAAAATTTGAAGTTCATTTTGGAAGGCAGAATGAAAGAACAGTATTAGTTAAATGGGAAAATCTGCACAAAGCTACAACACAAAGGGACTCATGGGTATTTATGTGGGAAATATAGAAAGCTAGCACAGGTGCAGCAGGTAATCAGGAGGGCTAATAGAATGTTGGCCTTTATTTCTCGGGGGTTGGATTGTAGGAATAGGGATGTCTTACTGTATCTGCATAAGGTACTGGCGAGACCACACCTGGAGAACTGAAAGCAGTGTTGTCCTCTTATTGAAGGAAAGATATCATTTCATTCGGGACAGTTCAGAGAATGTTCACTAGGATGATCCCTGGTATGCAGGGATTATTTTATGAGCAAAGGCTAAACAGATTGGGACTCTGCTCACTGGAGTTTAGAACGATGAGAGGTGTTCTCATTGAGAAGTATAGGATTCATAAAAGGCTTGACCATGTAAATGCTGACAGGATGTTTCCCCTCAGTGAAAGTCTAGGACCAGAGAGCATAGTCTCAGAATAAGAGGGTGCAAGCTTAAGACTGAGATGAGGAACAATGTCTTCTCTGAGAAGGTTGTGAATCTTTGGAACTCCTTGCCACAGAGAACTATGGGGCTGAACCTTTATGTATATTGGATGGATGGATGACATGAACCTTTATAAAATATGTAGTGGACTCTTGCTGTCGTGTTGTGTCTAATTCTAAACACCAAATTGTAGGAATGGTGTGAAGGCCTTTAGACAGGTTGCAGTGACTTACTATAATGATTAAAGGGATGTAGAACTTCAGTATGTGGAGAGATCATAGAAACCAGAGTGGGCATTCTAAAACAGAGAAGGGAAAGGGGAAATTTAATTGTAAAAGGTTTGAATGGTTTGATCAAGTTGATCAAATGAGCGGTTTGAACTCCGCCGTCAGAAAGATCAAAGGACGTAGATTGACAATAATTAGGAAAAAGACCCAGAGATGAAAGGAGAAGAATCTTTTTTGCGCAGTGTTTCGCTTTGTTGTAGAATGCACACCCTGAATGTGTGGTTGAAAAAGGTTCAACATTAATTTTCAAAAATGTGTTTGATAAACACTTGAAGAGGGAAATTTTGCAGAGCACTAAGGAAATGGCAGATGAGGGAACTAACTGGCAGCATTTCCTGTACTTTTCTTACTGGCTGTGCAGACCTCTGAGGCCCATGCATGGCAGTGACTTCTGGAATACAGCAATCAGCATGCCGATACCAATCGCCATGCGTGAAATATTGGAGCCTAGAGGGAAAATTGCTAATTGGTTACCTCTTTCTAAAAGTTGGGAAAGCAGAATGGTACAAATCGGAACCTTGAGGGCTGTGTGATTCTGTGAATTTATGAATATATTGCTGTATAATTTAGAGAAGTGTATTCCGAAAAAAAGCGTTACTAATACATTTGAAGGAAGTCATTTAATTTTACAATCTCTTGTAGTGTTTGAGAATTGCAAGTGAGAAGTAAAGCATTATAAGCAAAATATTCTTTCTTTTCAAAAGGGAATAATTTATAGTTTTATTTCGAAACCTGTACTTGAAACACTACAGTGAAAAGGGTGATCAACTTGTGAGAAGGGCAAATTTGGCCTGAAACAGCCTGTTTTTGCATTGATCTTGACTTGTGTTTTTGTATATATTTTACGACAAATGAATTTTCCAACATTTACAATTTTTGCTTTTTCTTTCTACGTAACCTAATTTCAAATGTGTCATGCTAGGCATTCCAAGCATTCATAAAAGCAATAAAGGAAAAGCCATAGATTTAAACTAATTGGCAGCAGGACCAAAGGAGAATTGAATGCATTGTCAAATCTGAACTTCCATGTTATTCATTGTTGTACTTTCATAATGCTGTTCAATTTAATGGTCACTTATTTCTAAGCAAAGTCCTATCAACAGATAATATGTTATAACCATATATGATTTTAATCATACAGTATTTTATTATGATGTAATGTTGTCAACATATTTTGAATTTGTCTGACGTGTCTGAGCTGATGTGAGCCATATTACAAAGCTTGCAAATTTATCGAAATAAAAACTCTTCAAGAATCAGTTTAAAAAGCCATAATCCTCTTAACTGCTTATAAATCTGTCAATAAACCAAGCTCTCTGTCTCCTTGACAGCCATACCAATGACTGTGAGCTGAATCCATTAGTGGAGATGGAATTCAGCCAAGCATTCATTGAGATTACATTAAACAATAGTACTAATATCTGTCATGAACTATGGACACTGGGTGAAAAGATAGAAAACACAACATGAATCATCTGGATATTTGTTTTGCAAGACGCTAAATATAGCAAACATCATTAATTCCTAACTCCATACCAGATGTATCCTGCGTCCTACAAAAGTTGGTGAATTGCACAAATTGGGGTAAAAATTAACATCTATTTACTTGCCCCAGACAGACGAAAACATGGAAGACATCAGTCCAATGTTAATCCATACAGTGAGAAAACTAAGGGTATTGTCACAAATTACTGTAGCCGCGCATTATTAAAATTGCTTTGCCAGCACATGGCCTGCGTAAAACTGCAACATCTGGATCTGTTAACATTTTATAGACATTTCTTTTACTCTACTCCAGGGACAACAGCACTTTTTAAAAAAAAACTTGCAACCTTTTTGGGGTTCTGAGAAAAGTCAAAAACCTGAAATAGTTGTCTTGACCTTCAGTTGAGCAACAGTCATCATCTGACTGTCACTTTGTTCAACCCTTGCCCCACCCTAATGCTGCTCCACAGTTCTCACCAGTTCAGCCTTTCAAGAAATGCAGAACCTAGCGCCCTTCAAATAAATTATATGCAGGGTTAAAACATATTGGGCACTCCGTAATAAAGTAAGTTTAAAGTACCAATGTAAATGTTAGTGAATGGCTGAATGTTCGAATGTTAGTGTGTAGATGAATGAATGAATGAATGGGTAGAGGGTAAGTAAATGGGTAGGGAGCGGGAGATAAGTGAGTAGATGTTAGTGTGACAGGATGAGGTGGCTGAACTCATGAACTCTGTTTTCATCCTTACTGATGCTTCTTGACCTACTGTGTATTTCTGCCATATTCTATTATATGCCTGATCTTTTATAGTTTTCCAAAGCATTATTTGTACAAGTTGTGTTTGTTTCTAATCTTTTTTGCAGTGGTACCTTTGAATAATATTTCTGTTGGCTGGCTCAGTTTGCAGACTAGAGTGGGTTAAAACCCATTTCTGAAGAAGGGTCTAGGCCCGAAACGTCAGCCTTCCTGCTCCTCTGATGCTGCTTGGCCTGCTGTGTTCATCCAGCTTTACACCTTGTTATCTCAGATTCTCCAGCATCTGCAGTTCCTACTATCTCTGGGTTAAAATCCATTAGTTCTCAAAGTTGTGTGGTCACTGCCTTGACTGCTAAATTCATCTTCAAAAATGCTATTATGCCTGTGAGTTTTGATATGTGGTTAATTTACGGTTCTGGAAGTTTCCTTTAATATCCTCTGGGTGGCACTATGAGGCCATTTTATGAATATAAAAACTATAATGAATATTGAGAAATCAGTGGAATTCACAGATGAACAATTGACTCTTTAACCTTTAGGAATCTGGTGAACTGCGTTATCAGCTGAATGAAGTCAAAATCAAGAAAGAAGAGGCTGAGAAGGAGTTCAGGGAATACAAAACAAAAATGTTACGAGAATTTGAACTCCGAGAACAGGTAGGAGTTTCTGTAAGTGGCAAATGTGGGAACTATTTCCTGAGAGGTAAATAGGATTCAGAAAGTTGTGGGAGGTGGTGAGTTGGGGAAGAGAACTAAGATTATAACAAAATGTGAAATAATGGCTTTGTGCCATCATGGTTGTGGATTGAAATTCTGGAGACGCAAGGCCCAGAAATATTGTCAGGCTTGAGCTTCAATGGGCCTCACTCTGCGTGTGTTTCTGAAATATTGGTAATATTAGTGAAAAGTGTTTGCTGTTATTTGGTTCCTTTCAGCCAATAATTTGCAAAATTCTAATCCTTCAAGAATGTGGTAATATCTACTGAAATTCCCATGAACATGAGTAGCTTGTGGTCTCTGCATCCAGCATTATAAAGGATTTAAATGACCTAATGTATCTCAATGATGCTTATAGTTTAATACTCATTTGTGTTGCTTTATTAAGGTTTTCCAGAATGAATGGGCCATACATGCCAAATAGTGTATTTTTAGTTAGTTTGATTATTCTGGGCTAAGGCTATTTTTCTTTGATTTAGGCCTCAGTCAGCTTCAGTTGTCTTTAAACTGTTGAAATGTGTGGCTTTTAGGTTGGTGACAACCGTGATAGTAATGTGCACTAAAATTATCTCAAGTTTGCAAAATGCAGAAATTAATGCAATTAAAGTTCCTTTTATTTCAAGAGTCATATTGAAAGAGCACAATTTTCAATGTTCTCATCTTCCTAATATATATTTGTGATCAATTTACAACTGATCAATAATTTTAAATTTACTTTTCAATGGTAGATAATAAACCTGTCCTTTTGGGTCAGTTTAAAGTTGTATTAAATTTGTATTACAGAAAATTATTTTTGTTGAACATAATGTTACAAAATGACCACTGACAAGTTAAGCTGACCCAATAATCACAGTGCTGTAAAGTTGGACTTCTTATTGCCTGTATGTGTTAATCAGTAAGGGACTTTGACCTTTGAAGACACAGGAAGAGAGTAACTAAAGTCTGTACAAATTATGATTGATTGAGAGAAAAGGTGAGCAATACTACCACAAATTCTTGTGACGTCAAACTATGCTAATAGCTACACTCTCAGGTTTTTTTTAGTGTACCTTCAAATCTAGATTGAACCACTAATTAGGTTGGGAAGCAGAGAGTTATATGGGAAGAATAAACATTCTGGGGGGAAATCTTGAGGAATTTAAATAGAATAAAAATGCATGTTGGAGAGCTAAACAACTGAAATAGGTAAAACAGATGTAAGGGCTGAAGGAGAATCTTAAAAAAAGATATGATTAAATTAATAGAAAATATAGTTAGAAATATTGCATTGTACTGCCACTGCTTCATTCAATCATGTATTTGGAGCTTATCATTTTTTTTAAACAAAAAAATTGCTTATAAATATACGGGCATAAAATTCTGTGAATTTATGGGAATGTGTGGTGATGCTAAGGTCTTTGTTGTTGAGTGTTTGACAACAAAGAGCTCTGCATATTGACAAAAGTACTAGTGTTGAGAGCAGTTGTCACCGTGCTGTGTACTGTTGTGAAACCAAAAACTGTATTATCAACATTTAAAAGCAGTGGGGAAATTTCACCAGCAATGTCACAGATTCACCTTTAAATTCAATGGAAGGATTGTTGAACAAACACCAAAGTCCTTCTTGAAACCAACTCCAAGAGCCTGGGGCCAAAATTCCTGTGATTCACTGTACTGGGCACCATGTCCAAATGGCTGTCTCCTGCCATGTCCTGTTCTCTCAACTCCCAAATGTGCAACATTCCAGGGAAGACACAGAAAATGCTTCAAAGACGCTCTGAGGCTGACCTTAATGACTATGAGGAGCTTGCATCCTCGGCAGAATTCTGTTAAACTAGACTATGCAAAATGGAGCTTAGAAGATGGTTGTGGAAAATATTGGAGAATTTAAATCTGGAGGTAATGTAACATAATGTGTTAGTGGTAGGGTAGGATAGGATGGAAAATGTTTATTGATAGATGTTGCATTTGAAGTTGGGTTTGGAATTAAGCACAATATTGAGATTCTGCACTGTTGGTTTCCATTGAGTGAGCAGCTGGGAAAGGATATGAAATCAAAGCCTGAAGCATGCAATTTCTGGCATGATCTAAACAGGATGACTTCACTCGCCAATCTTCAACTGAAGTAAGGTTTGGCTGATCCATTTATTTGAAGCCAAAAAGGCAGTCAAATAGCACATCAGGAGCCATGCAATCAAGTACACTAACTCTGTTTTTATGAATGTTGTTACTGAATGGCAGCCTGCACAGGGGAGAACAAAGGTGGTGTTGAGATACATGGGAAGGGCAGCCATTGGAGATGTGTTGGAATAACAACTGGTACCATTTTAGGAAGTATGATGGAAGTGGATCACAGAGGTGGTGGGAAAAAAACATAGCAATTAAATTTTCTGTCAGTTTCATTACAATTCAAGAAGAACAAAGAAGAATAAGATAATGCAATCAGTATCTCACCAGATATCACTGATTTGTCCCAGATAGTTTTCAGTGCTATGGAAACCAGATTGTAAATATAGAGTGGTCAGAGAATTGGCATCTTCATGTTCAGTGCCCTTCTCTCTTTCCTATAGATGTTGATACTTAATGACACTGGCAATGTTTTCATTAATGTGAATGCATTGAGCTTTCTAATTAAGGATTATTCTCCTATCTTACTCATGATATCAGTCTTCATGAGTTGAGATGCCACCATGTTAAGTGAAATATAAGCATGAATTTCAGAATATCCCACTACCTCCCTGCATGGAACTTAGATAAAACTCTCAATGATGTGAAAAAATTTGCAATGGATATGTGCCACTTGCCAGTTTACAGATCAATTACCATCTATTTCTTCCCACCAGTCTGATTCCTAATGACACCTCACTATGTCCACAATAATGTCAAAATTTCCCATGCAATCAGCTCACCTCATGGCGATCTTCATTTTAAAAATCTTGGTGGGTAACAGGGTGGGTAAAGCTGTTTTGACTTTTGGTTTTAAGGAGTAAAGACCTAAAAAGCAAATTTAACTTTTATACCATTATAGGAATTTGCAAGTGTCTGCAATGCCATTTCTATTTACATCATGTGCAGCATAAGTCTCCATTAAAATCAAGTACAGCTATAAGAGATTGTTGCTAAAACTCTTTTTAGTACTGTTTGTGCACCCACACATAATTATGCTGCCAACTCGCCTAAATTGCTACTTCTGAATTTTACTCAATGAAAATCATCAACAAGCAATCAGAAAAATTGCTTCTATTGCTGTTGATTCCACTGAGGTTCCTACCATTTTCATCACTGTTGCCTTGATATTACCACAAAAATCACATTCCTTGTTGTTATCACAGTTCAAAGCAGCATCGTGAATTTCTTCACTAGGAACATGGGTCCTTCGCCAGTTTTCAAAGCAACATCTGTTGTCTGGAATTATTTCACCATACATCCTGGTGACGAATTAAAAACATTGCATTCACACTATAAGAGAAGTATTATTGAGGCAGACAGAAGGCTCATTTGGGAACAATCACATTAATCACAACACCTGCAATAGTTTGTTTCTGTGGCATTGTTTCAGAATGGTGTTGACAAGAATGTTTCGCGCAATGAAAGCAAGGAAATGGGAGTCATGGTGCCAGTGGCAGTGGACAGGGGCCCTTGGATTTTTTGTAGTCTTTTACTGTATAAGTGGTTCTATTTGACAGCAAAGCTAATTGCTACAGAAGGTAGATATGCAGGAAGGTGATTAGCGTAACGTATGCCATTCCACACATGCACTAAATCTTCTTGTGTGCAATATGTAAATGACCCTCCAAGAAAGAGATCAAGAGATCCTCACTCAGTGCGACAGGATCCTCATGCTTGTTCGTTTCTGTTGCATTGAGGCACAGAAATTCAGTGAACCTGGTACACATCCTTTTTGTAAAGGTTTGGGGCTAATAATATGTCATTGTCTAACAAAAAGCTGTAGGACAACCAACCATAAATTTTTGCCATAACTTTAAAAATTCTTTCCTGGAGTGTGGGCCTTTCTGGCAAGGCCAGCATTTATTGCCCTTCCCTAATTACCATTGATTTTAGTGGCTTTCAAGTCTGTTTCAGACAGCAGTTAAGTTTCAACCACATATTATGAATCTGGAATCACATGAAAGCCAAACCAGTTATGGGTGGTAGATATCCTTGCCTAAAGGACATTATGTAAAGAATGTGTCTCCTTATTTTTCTGTATTTTTAATTGAGAGCTGAAGTGGGGAAAATAACTTTTTTTCCAGAAAAAACAAGGATTGCTGAAAAGCTACTGCAGTTTTTAAAAGCAAGTCACCTGACACTCATTGCAAGCATAGTTAACACAGCTCCTTGTTCAAGCGAGTATTGTTGAAGTATTGTTTGCAGAAAAGCTACAGCTGAGGGATGTGTACAAAAGGACATTCATCCAGAAACAAGGACCTGATTGGTCTGTGGACCAATGACTAGTTATTGATGGTAGAGGCATTCTGCCTGCCAACAACTATGTAATTAGTTTTCAGGTAGCTGAACAGCTCTGAATAAACATAGGAATGGGAGTAGGCCATTCAGCCCCTCGAACCTATTCCATCATTCAAAGAGATCATGGCTGATCTGTGGCCTAACTCCATATACCCGCCTTGACCCATATCGCTTAATACCTTTACTTAACAAAAAATTATCTATCTCAGATTTAAAATTAACAATTTACCCTGCATCCAAAGAGTGTTCCAAACATCTACCACCCTTTGGGAGAAGAAGTTCTTCCAAACATCTCTCCTGAATGATCTGGCACTAGAACAAAATAGGGAGAAGCCCACAGATCTCCTTCAGCTCAGGAGCTATTTCTATTCTCTGCTGTAACAAACACTTTAAGCCTGAAGCAAACCAGTTTTAAAAACAGAATGTTCAGCTCATTAGAGCAGAAGTTTAGGTGGGTTGAGACCCCTGTAGACAACGGTGCTGGGATGGAGGAA